AACGGACATCGGTAAAATAGTCCATGTGACATCAGTGGTTCAACTTCAATTTTGCGAAGCTACGAGAATACTTTAATTGATTCTGAAACAATGAATAAGTGTAATTGATTCTGAAACAATGTCATGTAACGGCTCATTTACCTCAGAAACAAACATATCCGGTGACCATAAACAAAAAATACGAATTGTAGTAGAAATATTATGATGTAATTGTAACTTTATTATTAGAAGAACTTCATTGGGTGGCATTTAAGTGTTTGTATGCAAATCAGTTAATTTTAACCTTCAGCATTATAGTAACCAGCTGACTCTCATGTATATTTTACAGCATTAGTTGAGTTTTTTTTCCTTAAGAACATTTGGCATGTTTACCTCAGAAACAAACATATTCGGTGACCATAAACTCGTTAGTCATCTAGAAAAATGATCTCTAAAGTGGCACTTTTTGCCAAATATATGCACCATATAACATATTCATTAAAATTTTTCAGCGTTTAATTTGTTTGAATAAATCCGTTTTTATGACAGCCACCATTTAAATGTTTATATTTAAAAAAAAAAAATAAAATAAAAATACGAATTGTAGTAGAAATATTATGATGTAATTGTAACTTTATTATTAGAAGAACTTCATTGGGTGGCATTTAAGTGTTTGTATGCAAATCAGTTAATTTTAACCTTCAGCATTATAGTAACCAGCTGACTCTCATGTATATTTTACAGCATTAGTTGAGTTTTTTTTCCTTAAGAACATTTGGCATGTACTGTACCTGATATATATCCAAAATAATCAATATTGAAGCGAATCAAATTGAATTGGTAATCAAATCAAATCGCAAGCTTGAAAAATAACATAATTTGAGGTGTTAATAATCTCTGTAGTACAAACAATCATCTCTGTAGTGCACAATTCATCATTCTAGCATTCCTTTGGACATTACTGACTGTAAACAAATGATACAGTGTGTTTTTGTTTAAACAGATATGGCAAGAGAAAGTGAAATATGAAAAACAGAAAGAGCGGGGGTGGGAGGAAAACAGGTTGCAGATGTTGTTGTATCAGGCCTGAATTAAAACCTTTTTGTTCTTTGTTTGAATCGGATACCTATAAAAATAGCTTTACTGTATGTACACCTTCCTTAACACAACACCCACAACCCTCAATTTGCATTACAGAGTTCTGATACCAGGATGAAATTAAGAAGTTTGTCACCACAGTGTTTCAAAGTGCCATTTTGATTGCAAAACCAGCTTTGTGGAGTAAAACGCTTGAACCCTGCTGAGTTCACCTAAAAATCCCTGTTGACACAACTCACTGGTTCCCTTTAGGAGCTGACTAACGAGGGAAACAGATTGAGCAGCACTAACCTAACCTGACGCCTCGGCCCCTGCTCCGAGAGCTCTCCAGCACTGCTGCTTACCCACAATGCAACAGCTTCTTTTAAAAAGTCCTGGGTAACATCCAGGTCCCACAGGGAAATTAATCCACTGTGTGTTTTGAAAACAGTAAATCAGATCAGCAGACATACTCCGCTCAATGGGGGTCTTGCACACAATTTTGAGGTAAAGTACTGTGTGCTGCTTCAACTTATGACTGTGTGAATGTATTGTCTGTTTTTGTTTGTGTGTTTTATTTATTTATTTATTTATTTGTGAGTGCAAATAAGTGAGAGCAGTCCTTTGTTTATTTAAGGAAATATCAACTATTTTAAGATCAGCTTTATTTTTGTTTTGTTTAGATTTGTTTTTTGTTTTGTGTGTGCTTTTGTTTTGTTTTGTAAATGGAGAACAGACAGATTATTTATTTTCTATTCCTGTTTTTTTCTTTTTTTTCTGTCTGTATTTGTTTTTATTTGTTTCATTTTATAAATGAGGAACAGCCAGATATATATTTTTTTACTTTAATCCATTTTTTTCTTATTATTTTTTTAATTTTTTTTGTCAATTCTGTAATTGACAACAGCCAGATTAAGTGAATATAGACACAGGACAGGATGTTTGTGTAATGGTGCTTTTTCTTGTCTTAGTGTGAAGTAAGAATATATTTCTCTGACTGCATCATAGTGGATGTATCCACAAATTATTATATTAATTAAAAAAAGTGACCGCTTCAATAGGCCTTGAAACACCCACTCATACAAGCTTTGTTTCTGCTTTAAGGAAAAGCCTGTAAAAAAAAATGTCAAACTGATGAGACAAATAAGCTTAATTAGATTCAGATTGTGTCCAGACTTTCCAAATCTACTCATAAAAGCATCCGCCCACAGGTTGGCTTTTAAAACATTTCCTCAGTTTTATTTAACGGCCGACCCAAAGGTCTTAGTGTGTCAAAGGTCAGCATCTAGCAATGTATTCAGGCCGTGTGCTGGTGTTTGTTTGTGCGTGTTTCTTTTCTAAATGTGTGCACGGCTCTCTGTACACTCTGCTGAATTATGGACCTCTACGGGGTGTTTATTTTTGCCTTTAGCCGCTGCCATTGGTTTGTGGTCGGTCACAAGTTGTGTAGTTCGTCACTATAAATACACGCACTTTCCTCAGAGGGCGCAGAAGAGGCCGGCCGTCATGGGCCTTCCCACCCGACGGCGCGAGCAGGCCTGGGCTAGATGTGTGGGATACAGGGTGTGGGCCACTAGTGTCGGGGGTGTCCGCAGCTGGAAGACCAGGCTCAGTATTTCATGGTCAAACTTGTTTTGCCCTGTGCCTCTCCTGCCTGGGGCATAATGAGTGGCTTCCACATTGCGGTTATAACCCAGTAAAGAGACTATTTCAGCCTGTTGTACACTCTTTAACCTTGCATGCATAGAGTTGTCTACTACCCATTTACTTCATTTTATTTCTCTCTATAGACTGTTTAAAATAAGCTTAAGACACTGATTTCTCTGTCTGATCTCTGATTTCTCTCTCTTTTTGATTAAGAAAGATGAACTAATGAAGAATTTGATCTGTCTTTCTAATTTCTCTGTCTGGTGTCTTTCTGACTGCTGTGTCTGATCTCTGTCTGATCCCTCTCTTTGACTTATTTGTCTGATCTGATTTCTGTCTTTAATGTCTCTATCTGATCCCTCTTCAATTTATATGTCCGATCTCTGATTTGTATATCTGATATCTCTCTTTGATATCAATCTGATGTCTCTGTCTGATCTCTCTTTGAGTTATCTGTCTGATCTTTGTGATTTCTCTCTTTGATCTGACTCTGCTCTGTCTGATCTGTGTCTTGAATTCTCTCTTTGATCTTTGTCTGATGTCTGATCTCTCTCTGATTTATCTATCTGATCTGATTTCTATCTTTAAAGTCTATATCTGATCCCTCTCTTATTTATTTGTCTGATATCTCTTTTATATCAATCTGATATCTCTGTCTGATCTATCTCTGCGATATCTGTCTGATCTCTGTTATTTATCTCTCTAATTTCTCTTTAATCTCTGATTCGACTGTTTGAGCTATGTTTTGAATTCTCTCTTTGATCTTTGTCTGATGTCTGATCTCTCTCTGATTTATCTATCTGATCTGATTTCTATCTTTAAAGTCTATATCTGATCCCTCTCTTATTTATTTGTCTGATATCTCTTTTATATCAATCTGATATCTCTGTCTGATCTATCTCTGAGATATCTGTCTGATCTCTGTTATTTATCTCTCTAATTTCTCTTTGATCTCTGAATCGACTGTTTGATCTATATGTTTTGAATTCTCTCTTTGATCTTTGTCTGATGTCTGATCTATCTTTGATTTATCTATCTGATCTGATTTCTATCTTTAATGTCTCTATCTAATCCCTCTCTTATTTATTTGTCCGATCTCTGATTTATGCATCTGATATCTCTCTATGATATCTGATGTTTCTGTTTGATCTCTCTGATTTATCTATCCGATCTGATCTGTTATTTATCCCTCTGATTTCCCTCTTTAAGGTCTCGGTCTGATCTATCTGATTTATCTTTTTGGTCTGATCTCTGTTATTTATCTGTCTGATTTCTGTCTTTAATGTCTCTGTGTGATCCCTCTTTTGTTTATCTGACTTTTCTATGATTTATATATAATCTCTAAATGTTAATCTCTTTCTCTGTTTTCCCTGCTATCTCTGATTTAAATCTGATGATCACTTAATCTCTGATCTATGATCACAATTAAAGGAAAAAAGTAAATAACAGAGTACTTGGCAAGAATAATAGCAAATTTCTGTCTCTGATCTGTCTAAAACCTTTCTGTCTAATCTTGATTGTTTTAGTATTAGTAGTGTGATTTCACTGATCTCTCTGTATACTTTTTCTTTGTGATCTCTCTCTGTGATATCAATCTCTGATCTCTTGGTTTCTTTCTCTCCAGCTTATTCTCATAGTAAAGGTGTGTCATCATCTTCACAGGTGCTGTCGCTGTTACGTTCCTACCTGGCAGACACACACAGACCCCAATCAGGAAATGAGCAGGACTGTGACCTCTCCAGTGCCCTTTTTCCATGGCTGTGGCTCGCCACAAGGTAGGTACTGTCATTCTGATACACTAACCACTACTGTCATTATTTGCATATATATCAGCAAATATAGTGTGCATACCAGCATCGTTTTGGTTAGGCATTTGCAAATAATATTATTTTACAAAATAAGATGGCTGCTCTGTTCACACGCCAGCTTACTGTTTTGTAAAGTGAGCTCTCTGTGTTCTGAGCTCTTGTTTCAAAGGCTGCTCTCTGCTCAGTGACCCAGCACACGGACAGCAGCGCTGCAGGACGAGTGACACGGCTACGTGCCCTTTGACCACTCTCACTCATCCATACTGATGCTTTATAACAAATGCCCTAATGAGACGGAGAGAGACAGAGAGGGAGAGTTTGGGAAAGTTAATGAAGACGGAACATGGCAGTGCATTCAGAATAGAATATAATGCATGCTGAGCAAGATATAGTGTATTCTGCCTACTAGAAAAGTATATGAAACAGCATGCAATGATAAATGTTTCAAACAATTGTATGCTACATTGCCCCAAGACAGTGCTATATTGCATATTTCATTCATTAAGTGGTGTCCCAGTCAGGGTTGTTATAGTTACCAAAAACTAAAACCATAAAAAAGTCTTACAATAAATGCTAACTGAAAAATAAATAAATAAATAAAAATTAATGACATTTTTTTATATATACATAAAAAGTAGCAAATATAAATGACAAAAACATAAAACCAACTTTAACTAAAATTAAAATGAAAACGGAAAATGAAAAAATGTGTATATATAAAAAATAATATCTCAATCATAATTAACACTGGTTCTAAATAATTAATCGCAGTTATTTATCATTTTTAATCCAGTTTTGTGTGAAATGACTGAGGGATCAAGATGAAATGAGAGTTCCCAAATATCTGACCAAATTTCCCCATAATCCTTAGCTTTGTAATTTGTTGAACTCATAGCAATATTATGTGTTTAAAGAGCAACAGAGTGACACAAAAAGATGAAGCCAGACATTCAAAGAGAGGGAGAGCGTTTGTGTTATTAATATCTCAGTGATGAAATACTGACGTCAGCCCTGAACACTGGCCCTCTTGTTCTCGCCCATGTCCATGAGCGTTTGTGTGCGCTGTGGTCTCACACACACACACACACACACACACACGCACAAACGTAATTGATTTACTCTTCCACATACCCTCTCCTGTCTCGATCCACACACATCCACCCTCTCTCACAAATGTTACCCCTGCAGTTTGGCTGAGATACAGGGCCCAGAATTCCCTTTGTGCCCATGGGCAGCACATGTGATGCTTTATCTTCAGCATCCACAATCACTGCTCTCAAAAAATCAGTTACTCTGACTATAATACAGTGATCCAAAAAAAGTGTTTTGACACAAATACCAAATAAATAAATAATTATTTTCTGTAATTTTGCAGAAGTAAAAAAGCACAAAGCTCTTTGTAGTTATTGGATGCGATGCATGCTACAAATGTTTGGTGAAGGGATAAAAACGTGGATCTGGCAACCCGTCTTTGACTACGAGTGATTCATAGGAACAAATAGAACCTGTGTTAAATGCACTATTTGTTTTGTTTTAAATTGAGATTGCATTAATTTGTTACATGATTTGATACATTGGTGCATCTCTAATAATTTTATAGAAATTGCACTGTATTTCTACATTGTCTATTTCTTTCCATTCAAATTTCAATCAAATATCTCCCCTCAGTTTTTTTTTTCTCACACTTTGCCACACTTGAAAAATAAAATGTGTAATTTCTGTACAACTCATGGAGTAAATGCAATGAAATACTATGACGTATATAATTATCATTAACATAATATCTCTGTCTCTCTCACACACACACACACACAATCTGACAGGCAGAATCCATGTCTGGTAACACGTGGTGCGTTTCTAGACCTGCTGGGCTGTCTTTGTGGTTGTCTTCCTGTTCCTGTATCAGGTAAGAGCTCAAAACAAACAGTAGTGAAATAAACACCAGTATTATGTGCTTGTTTCCAAATCTCTAACTTCCAGTCTAGTTTTTATTCCAAGGAAATATGGTGTCTGCTTTGAGTGTGTGTTATTTTGAGTGTGCTGGAGGCCTGTGGGCCTTTGATATAAGAAAAACTGTCTCTGACAGATGGTACAATTGTGCCCGTGTGACCCAGTTAAACAGGGCGGCCCCTGCATGTTTGTGGGCCCCATGTGTCGCACACATGTGGGCATGGTGGCGGTGTTTATCACTTTAAAACCAAGCATAGTCTTACAGTCCCACCCACCTGCCATCACTTACATAACAAACGGTGGGCGCACACACACACACGCACACATTTTTGCTGTTCAGAGATTTATTTATACACTCTGCCCTGTACTCTCTTAACACCCTCTTAATCTCTGTCTACCTTTCCTTTCATTTCTCTTAACATAAATTTCACTCGATCGATCTCAATATTTCACACTCTGTCTGGCTTTTTGCAGTGTTTTTCTCCCTCAGTTTAAGGAATCACCCTAAATTTAAATAGTCAGCAAACTTTGTTAAAGTCTGTCAAAGTCGTATGGCTTACTTTGTGCCGGGTAACACAAAAAGAAATGTTAGGCCAAATGTTCGCACTTTGCCATACAGTGAAAGATGATAAAAAGGGGTTGTCAAGTTAAAAATGACAAAGAATAAAATATAAAGTATTCTATTTATACAATATTATATTTCTATTCCTATATTCCAAGTTTTCTGAAGTCATATGACGTGCAAGAAACAATGCAGTTTGTTTTATTGTCATCAGACCAAATGTAGGACTTCAGAAGACTTGAAATACAGCACACAAGCATATGGACAATTTTATGGTGCTTTTTTTTTTGTCTGTTTCTTTCCATTCAAATTTCAATCAAATATCTCCCCTCAGTTTTTTTTTTCTCACACTTTGCCACACTTGAAAAATAAAATGTGTAATTTCTGTACAACTCATGGAGTAAATGCAATGAAATACTATGACGTATATAATTATCATTAACATAATATCTCTGTCTCTCTCTCACACACACACACACACACAATCTGACAGGCAGAATCCATGTCTGGTAACACGTGGTGCGTTTCTAGACCTGCTGGGCTGTCTTTGTGGTTGTCTTCCTGTTCCTGTATCAGGTAAGAGCTCAAAACAAACAGTAGTGAAATAAACACCAGTATTATGTGCTTGTTTCCAAATCTCTAACTTCCAGTCTAGTTTTTATTCCAAGGAAATATGGTGTCTGCTTTGAGTGTGTGTTATTTTGAGTGTGCTGGAGGCCTGTGGGCCTTTGATATAAGAAAAACTGTCTCTGACAGATGGTACAATTGTGCCCGTGTGACCCAGTTAAACAGGGCGGCCCCTGCATGTTTGTGGGCCCCATGTGTCGCACACATGTGGGCATGGTGGCGGTGTTTATCACTTTAAAACCAAGCATAGTCTTACAGTCCCACCCACCTGCCATCACTTACATAACAAACGGTGGGCGCACACACACACACGCACACATTTTTGCTGTTCAGAGATTTATTTATACACTCTGCCCTGTACTCTCTTAACACCCTCTTAATCTCTGTCTACCTTTCCTTTCATTTCTCTTAACATAAATTTCACTCGATCTATCTCAATATTTCACACTCTGTCTGGCTTTTTGCAGTGTTTTTCTCCCTCAGTTTAAGGAATCACCCTAAAAGCTGGGCATGAGACGTACGGGTTTACGAGCCTGTGTGGATCAAACACTGTACCGCCTGAGAAATGCTCCCTTAACATACACCACCACACAAATTCTCTGATGGCCATTCAAACCATCATTTTGGCACAAGCGGTACTGTATTCCCCATATTTCTCTCTCTCAGGTGAATAAATCGTGGATACCGCGCTCACACACTCGTCAGTAGGTGGTTGGCAGCGTAGGGGTCGCCCACTGTGGGAAAGCGTTTGCATGCTCACATCTGCTCTGCACGTTCCTCCCTCGTCTGGGTTTTGTTTTTCACAGTTTGGGTAATGATGGCAGGGCATGATGTAAAATCCATGTGTGCGCGCACGTTGCCGCATGTGTGTATCGGTGTGTGTTTACTACTGTAGTGAGTACAGACGGCCCACTGTTTCCCTGCACCATAAACTCTAGCTGAACACTTAGAAACAAAAAGATCGCACATGTACTTTAACTGCTAGCGTGTCGTAAAGGTGCTTGGGCCGTAATACTGTATTTAACAGAATTCGTGAGTGTTCCATCTTATATAAAGTGAGAAAGTGTTATGAATAACTAAAGGGAGTCTAAATTGCCTCATCGTTTACTAGGGCTGTGTCGCAAATATCAGTTAGTGTTAGGGTTGTAACGATATGCCGGTTTATCACGGTTTGACCGTGCACGGTTATCATACCGTAAACATTTGCATATCTATGGTTTTTTTTTAAATTTATGAAAAAAAACCCTCACCTGCGCACGTGCAACTTATTTCCGCTCGGCTGCTTCATTCTGCATTCACTTGGCTGATAATATCAGCCATGAGATAATATCTAATCTCCATCCCCGCCAAAAAAAAAGTTAATATCTGCAGTATGGGAATACTTTGGATATTAAAAAAAAAAAATGAACGCGGGGTTGTCCTTGAGGACGGATCCAATTTGCAAAAAATGTGGACGCAAAGTGGCTGCAAAAGCAGGCAATACATCCAACATCTTCGCTCATATTTGCGGACACCATCCCTGCGTGCAGATAAAGGTATGTCGCATTAATAAAAAGTTATGTTAAGGCCGTATGATTTCCGTGAATGTTTGACTGCTATATAAATAATCTGCTTGTTTCTGCATGTCTCTGAGTGGCGCCGTTTTATCTAACGTACTGCATACTGAAGTACGCATACATAAATGGTGTTTTCAGCATCTACGATACATAAACATGAACATCAGCAGAGCTGCTCTGAGAAAAAATGTAAATAAACATTTCCTAGTTTTATTTGAGAAAAAACATTGTCAAATACACTCTGAAACCCAAAGGTCCGCTACAACCCGTCAAAATAAAAGTTCTATTTAATTTTAAATTATGACAGAAATATATTAGCATTGTACAATGTACTTCAAAGCTATAATAACAACAATAATAATATTCTTTATAATAAAATTATTTAAACATTGTTTTCAAGGAAAATCATGTTTGTCCATGTTTTAACTTTGCCAAAAATAAAAGGAGTTGTA